CTAAACACATGTACATGCTACGTTATTATTTTGGTACTAATTTTAAATATGTAGTTCTACTGCTGTATTATTTCCTAGTTTGAATATACAATATAGGAAACTAGTTCGCATATACTGCCCTATAATGCTTATTGATTACTTTTCTCATTATATATTTTCAAATAAAGCAGGGAAAGAAGTAAAAATAGTGGAAATAGTTACACTTTTTGCCATTAAAATAAATGAAAAATTTTCAATTTTTCTTTCTTCACCACAACAATAATTCATTTTTCTTATAAGCATAATCAACAAGAAAAAATCAAAGTAAATGAAAAATAAAAATAAAAAAAAAATTGATTAAACAAGTAAGTGAATGTATATAAAAATCGCACATATATAATACAAGAGTGCGTTTGTAAAGAAAACACATCAGCGGCATTACTTAGCATGCTTCACATACTTTTCATGCACAGTTTTATTTATACAGTACTGAATGAAGTAATTAATGAATCTAATCGCTTTGAAAATTGTTTGTACTAAACCAATAAAATTGAAAATTTTAAATGTGTTTTAATTCTTATTAGTTTTATTAATATTTTCCGCATTTTTTTTGTCATTTTATTACTACGTTTTTCTTAACTTGCTTTCTTGTTTGTTTGTTTGTTTGTTTGTTTGTTTGTTTGTTTGTTTGTTTGTTTGTTTGTTTGTTTGCAAAAAATTTCAAATCTTGCTATCAATTTTTCGACCACTTCTACTGCTCCAATCGAGCTCAAATTTTTAATGCACATGTATTCCCGGTGACAATACAATATTTTAACACTTTGGAAACACAAAAATGCTTAATTATCAAACAATTTATGTAAAACTTTTTTATATGGGAAAAAATCCAATGTCAATGATAAAAAATTTTGATTTGTATTAAATATTATACTTGTGATGCTCTAAAGTCATTTATATGATTCATTATAGTTTAATTAATATTACTAATTATTAATTATACCATAAATTTGAGCAGCTAAAGATATTCTGGTAAGACAAAAAAATTGACATGTAATTTTTTCATGAATATTCGTAAGTTAAAATTTGAATTTTCAAAAAACCGTTAAGCACAAGTCCGTTACGAATTAATGCAAAATAACTATTAATATACGATGTGCATTTAGCACACATAGCTTGAGCATAAATTTATGCTGTTTTAAATGTATTGCATTATTTATAACACTTCACCAACTTAATTAAATTGACTTTTCTTTTTATTAACGGTTTGACGTATTTTTGCATAACATATAAATGATATTCATTGAATTTAAATTTGAAAATCCGTTATAAATACGTTACATATGTGATTTGCATCTTTATGTTAAGAATCCACACGTTATGAAGTAGAAATGGTACAGATAAACACAAAATCTTTACGAGTGATTTTTAATGTACTTTACTAATGAATGCTTTAAAAAAATTAAATTTTATAAAACGAATGAAAAATTTTGAAAGTCGTTACTAATTTCCCATTGAAAACTGGTAATTTATAAACAGTTGAACGCAACGAAGTGAAGTTCAACACACCTGTAACCTATAAACCTACTGTGATCTATAAACAGTTGAACGTAACGAAGTGCAACGAAGTGAAGTTCAACACACCTGTAACCTATAAACCTACTCTAATCTATAAACAGTTGAACGTAACGAAGTGCAACGAAGTGGAGTTCAACACACCTGTAACCTATGAACCTACTGTAATCTATAAACAGTTGAACGTAACGAAGTGCAACGAAGTGAAGTTCAACACACCTGTAATCTATAAACCTACTGTAATCTATAAACAGTTGAACGTAACGAAGTGCAACGAAGTGAAGTTCAACACACCTGTAACCTATAAACCTACTGTAATCTATAAACAGTTGAACGTAACGAAGTGCAGCGAAGTGAAGTTCAACACACCTGTAACCTATAAACCTAATGTAATCTATAAACAGTTGAACGTAACGAAGTGCAACGAAGTGAAGTTCAACACACCTGTAACCTATAAACCTACTGTGATCTATAAACAGTTGAACGTAACGAAGTGCAACGAAGTGAAGTTCAACACACCTGTAACCTATAAACCTACTCTAATCTATAAACAGTTGAACGTAACGAAGTGCAACGAAGTGGAGTTCAACACACCTGTAACCTATGAACCTACTGTAATCTATAAACAGTTGAACGTAACGAAGTGCAACGAAGTGAAGTTCAACACACCTGTAACCTATAAACCTACTGTGATCTATAAACAGTTGAACGTAACGAAGTGCAACGAAGTGAAGTTCAACACACCTGTAACCTATAAACCTACTGTGATCTATAAACAGTTGAACGTAACGAAGTGCAACGAAGTGGAGTTCAACACACCTGTAACCTATAAACCCCCTATAATCTTTATTTCTCTATTTCATTAGAATAAGACTAAAAAGTAGAAAATAAAATACTTTATAAAAAAAAACTTTTTAAAAAACTACGTTTTTCGCGTAGACTAAAAAGTAGAAAATAACTTTTATTCTTGGTTGTAAAGAATTTGGTTTTAAATTTTCAGATTATATTTAATAAATTTTTATATCCTAGTCAATATTGTTCACAAAGTTTCGAATAAGTGCACTTTGATCTTATCGTATAACTCAACAACTTAAAAACGTGGGCGCATTATAAGAGGAGAAATAAGTTTATGTGAAATCAATACTTTATGATAACCTTAAATTAATGCGCCCACGTTTTTAAGTTGTTGAGTTATACGATAAGATCAAAGTGCACTTATTCGAAACTTTGTGAACAATATTGACTAGGATATAAAAATTTATTAAATATAATCTGAAAATTTAAAACCAAATTCTTTACAACCAAGAATAAAAGTTATTTTCTACTTTTTAGTCTACGCGAAAAACGTAGTTTTTTAAAAAGTTTTTTTTTATAAAGTATTTTTTAAACATGTGCATCTAATTTAAGTATCTTTTATTAATGATTTTGATGGATCAAAATACAAACAGTCAATAAGAAAAAGTTATAAATCTTAAAAACACCAATAGGCAATGTAACCCTCTTAATTTTTTTTTTTTTTTTGAGTTTAAAAATACAAAGTTTGGAATTAGTTGTTGGCTTTGGTATGTGTTGAGTTGTTTCGCGTAAATTAATTTAAGTTTCAAAAATGCTTTATATCAGAAAGCAGTTAACTTGTTTAAAATTCAAAATAAAAACAATGTTCTTCTATTTCGCATGCATTATAAAAAGAAATAAATGTACAGATGATTTGACCCTTCAGACTTGAACACATGCACCTTATCATTCACACATGTCAATTTATATTAAGCAAATTGAAAAATTGGAAAATTATGTGTATTGTGTGTATTTTAATACTTCACTCTCACATATTAAGTTTATTCATTTAGGTGCTTTCATTTGTTTATTTATTTTCTCATAAAATATTTTCGCACTACAAATGATTTTTCATCAATAATAAAATGCTTTCAAATTATAGAAATGGAAATAGAAACACATAAATGCAATTCTCTTATATGAAAAATAATGTATGCGTACATATGAAAATAAACACTTTTTTTAATACAAAACACCGAACTAATCAAAACAAGTTATGCGGCACAGTTATACATATTTATATATTTTTCTTTGAAGAAATAATAAAGCTCTTATCAACGCATACAAAGTTGTTTTAGAAAATATTTTGAATTGCAAAAAAGTTCATGAAACTATTTTTTATAGAAAACATTTTAAATTTGACATTTTCAGGAAATAAATTTGTGAATTGAAAAAGAAATTATCTACAGAATTTTGAAAACTTTGACTTTAATAAGAGGAAACTTGTGGTTAAATGTCTGAAAGCAATTTTCCGGAAAATTTAAAATGTGAAATTCAAATATGTATAACCCTCAAATATTTCGGGTTTTAAAAGTTAAATATTAATATTTCATAGCCTATTTTAAAAAAGTAAATCCGTACCGCTAGAAGTTGGATATTATTTCAATTAGAATCAAAATCGTTTCAATGGCTTTTCTAACAACATATTGAAAGATGTTGACAAATCAGGTTTAATTGTCATTAATTTATGTTGACAATGGAATAATATAACATTAACAGTGAAGGAATATTTTATTAAAGAGAACGGAGAAATCTTTTTACATTTCAATCGTTGAATAAGTATTAAGAAGAGAATGAAACAATAAATATATATTGAATTTATAAATTTAAATTGAATTTAATAAGGATGCGCCCATTTGAGTATTTATAGCTTTTTCAAGTTGCTTATGTTTATTAACAGATGATGATAAAAGATGAACAAGTTATTATATTTGTACATAACATGTACACATTTGAATCTGGAATCAGTAGGAAAATAAAATTACTGGGGAAGTAACAGATATATGTATGCTAACGAAGTTTCATTTAAAAGAAATTAGATATGATTTAAATTTATGATTCCTATATTTTACTCTTGTCTTTCATTGTGACATATTTTATCAATCACCATTTATTCACATCCAGATTTGTCAAATGCCTATTTGAGCCAAATTATTATGGCAAATTATTGATTCATGTACAAAAATACTATGAACAACTCTTTCAAATGTATTCATTATTAAAAACATATTGCAATAAATTGTGGTAAAATAAATGAAATTCCTTTTAAAAGTAAAAACTCAAGTAAATATTTAAAATAAACGAGGGTTGGAAAATTTGATTAATCCTCCTTCAAACAAGAACTAAACACCATCTATTACTCGCATAAAAAAATAGAATATTCCCAATTTTTTATAAAGAAAATGTATTACTACCCGTTTCAAAGTTAAAAAACTAAAAAATATATAACACGCACGATAATACTCGACCCTCCTTTTGTATTAAATAGATTTTCTCATACTTAGCAGATTATGCTTTTGTTTGCTTGCGGCATAGCCATTTGATTTGCTTACATTGGCTTATAGTGTCCATATTTCATTGAAGTAGTTCATTTTTGAAAAAAAAAATTAACATACCTGTGTTTGCGTTAATCCCAAACTAGCGGCTAATTCTGCTCTCTCAGGTAATGCTAAATATTGTGTACGTTGAAACCGCCGATTAAGTTGCTGAAGCTGAAGAGAACTGTATATTGTTCGAGGTTTACGCATTTTTTTTCCTTTGCCATTTACTCGTAATCCTGTATCTTCAATTTTATCTGTAAAATATGTAATTTATAAAGGATATATTACAATTTTAATTATTGTGTTTCATTTCGTTAATAAAACTACTTTGTAAAATTTATTTTGTAGGCCACAATCAAAATGCAACAGTGCTATTGACATTAATTCACAATTTGAGCTTTTAATATATTTCTTACTGTCGATATCGTTATATGTTATTGCAGCATGGCTGACTGCGGTAAATTTTTTATATTATAAGACTGGTAGGAAATTATATGTTACAGTCAGTTGTACGATTTGTACATGTATGCTTTCTGCATGTGTTTGCTACTTGCTTACTTATTGCTACTGCCCCTTGTACACCCCGAGACTAATAAATAATTTGAAAACTGTAATCATTTATCATCATATTCTAGTTATTCGTACATTCTCAAATTTGTATCATTTTTGTTTATAAATTTTGAGATACAAAAAAATTAAAGAAATTTTTCAAACTATTTGCATACTGACTTAAATGCAGTATATTCAAGTGTCAATTAAGTAGCAATAGCATTAATATCATTCACATGTATACACGTTATATTGAAATTGACATTATCTGTGAAAACCTAATGAGTTCTGATCAAAATGCTGGCGGTTATATTTCATAAGCTACTTTGAATTGAACGAATGTATTTGAAAATAAAATAAGGTGAAAGTACAAGAGAGATAGAATGGAAAAATGTCGATTAAGTGAATAAACATATCGAAAATTACAATCAGCTTTGCATTTACTTTATTCTATTTTTCGATAAAGACATACATATATATGAACACATTTGTTCAATATATACATGGGGAAATATTTCTTCCATCGTTAGCATAGTTTAATAATTAATAAGCTTGGTCAAAAGTCAATAAAGAGCACTGATACAAAGTAATGAATAATGTAAAAGCTGTTAAAAAAGTTTATTTCAAATTGTCTGTTATTTTGATTGATTTTTAATTATTATACTGGAAATTTTGAAAATTTCTCTTTCCTTTTTTGTTGTGTGTTTTTGTCACAATTATTAGCACCTTATTATTTCAAATTAATGAAGTTACATCGAGTCTGTTCTGATTGATAAATATTTTTATAAGGAGATATTTGGGCCAGTTGAAATTTCTTGAATTCAGAATATTTGTCGGTTTTAGGTTTTTTTTTGTGATCGGAAAATCAATTTTTTTTCGGAAACCAAAATGCCATTTTACTGACATGATATCGTTCCTGGTTCCAATAAAATATAAAAAAAGGAAAAAGTTTAAAGACCTCTCAAAATAACCATTTTCCCATATTTTTCTGTGGTGTAGAAAATGTTTAAAATGTTCATAAAGCTGATTTTTGAATGCTCACTGAATATTGATAACGAAAAACCTGTCAATGTTTCTCAAGTTTCTGTTTTCGAATAAAATTCACTTGTTTTGCACTTTTTGTTTCTTTTATTTTTTACTAACAATAGTGATATTTTTCCAAATACATGCATTTATCCAATATATTTTTTTTTGCATTTCACTAATTTTTTGACAACATTTTTTAAGGCTCTTTTAGCTTTATGTACGAACATATATTTTTGGCAATTTTTTTCTTCATTGAATTTATTTTTATTGCTATGTTCAGCCCCAGAAATGATTTGTGAATAATAATTGCACTGAAAATACATTTTTTCTGTTTTGTTTTGGAAGCGTTTCAAACTGATAGTTTGAAGAACGCGCCGTAAATAATATTATATATATATATATATATATATGGCTTAATATTTCATACATGTACATAAAATATGACAATTATTTAAACTTTTTCATGCTGATTTATTTTTTCATATGCACGGCACTTTTCAGGTGCAATTTATTTATTTTATTTTATTCAACGTCAAAAATTTCCACATTGTCCATGTAGACGTTATTTTTTATCATTAATTAGCGTGATGCGTATTCAGAATGTATTAAAAAGTGCTATTTTTGTTAAACATACTGAACACTACGGACCTTTACAATTTGCTTTTACATGAAATCATAAAAAAATAAACGTTAGCTGTTCAGAACTTAAGATCCACAATTTAACAAGTGAGGGTTCTCATAAGAAATCCCGCTCAAACCTAGGCTAAGTTTATAATGTATATCAAACCACTCCTGAAATTTTATAAATTTCTCCTTGCAGATCACAAAAAAAAACACGTATTGGCGTTTAATAGTTAAGTTCTAATAACGAATTCATTAACTAGAAACTTAGATCTCAAAACCACAAGAAAATATGTACTTTATTCTCGATTTAATTCAGCATTTTTGTTCTTTTAGTTTCAAGTAAGACATCATGTTTAATTACAACCAACATTGAACTTTAATCAATAATATTGTTGATGCAACGAAAACTAATTATCAATTTATTTTGTTCTGTATTGATATTATTATTATTTTTGTTACTAGTTTTTTTATTACTTGTTCTCTTCTCTCATTCGAACTTCACGACTTATGAAATCGATTGTATTTCAATGACTGACTCATTATGTCATCGTGAAATTGTTCGCCATTTGATTTATGAGTCACTTTTTTGATACACTATAACAGTTATTATTATTATTTCTACTAGAGAATGTTATGACTACCATAAAAATCATTAATCATCAATCAACGCTTACTTACCATCCTTTGGTGGACTGGAACATGGTGGAGCATATCCGCTTAAATGATAACTTGAATAAGAGTTTTGCATTGTAGGAAAAGGATATCCAAGTGCACTACGAGGACTAGGAAAACCAGAATCTTGACCTCCTTGAGGACCAAAATGTTGTCCATATCCACTTCTAATAGCACCATAACTGAAAAAAAAATTAATAGTAGTAAAAATAAATATGAGAATAAAAGAGGAAATAAAGCTCAAATATCGCATGCTGTATCTTACGTAATCAGATACATCTTTTATTAAAAAAAAAATAAAAATCAAAGAAAAAAAATATATTTTACTCTATCCGTCGGTTTAAATAATGCGTCAACTTTGTATTTTTGCTTTTAAAAAATGTTGGAGGTATTATTTCAAACTAAGAAACGCTTAGCAAAATGCTTTATTTTATTTTTAAATAAGTGAGTACAATTCTCATGATATATGCTACTGAGTTGCATACAATAAAAAAAAGAATTTCATTTTTTTTTGTTAATTAATGTTTGCACATTAAATTTTTGATGTTAATGTAATTAATTGCCCAGACGAATCATATACTATTCAATTTACCATAATCTAATAATTTGTCTAACTAATAGGCAACTATCTCTCTCCTTCTTTGTCTATCGCTCGACTGTGAAAAACCATTTAAGTCGTTTAATTATCAACCGTGTACATTTTATGTGTGATGATTACATTTTAATTACTCAGTCAGTTAGTCAGTCAGTCTGGTAAGAGATTTCGATAGTGCGATTAATAGTCGCAATTGTTGTTCTACTACTGTCAATTTCCCTTTCTAATTTTTTTGTATGTATAAAAATTTATGCTATTTATTTTATGATAAATTATTCCACATATCATTCACAAAAAAGTAAGTTATGCGCTGTTTACATCATTAGAAATTTTAATTATTATGCAGCTCATATAAAAAGTATTTAAACGGGTTGTGATAATTAATTCTTATTTATTGCTTGACGCTACTTGCACATTTTCAAGATCAAGTTTTGCGCGCGCGGATTTTTTCAATTTTATATTATGCAAGTACTCCATGTGATATATAAAACATTTTTTTTTCTTTTATACTTATCATTGTAATGTATTTATTATGTTTATTAAAAACTAAATTCAAAAAGGTTTTTTTTTAAAAATATTTTGCATTTTTAAGAAAAGAATTAATCTTTAAGTGACGTTAACATATTTCTTTGGCGACGTTTCATTAACTTAATTTGCATTTTGATAGCTCAGTATTTAAATCATGAATATATGCAATTAATTATTGCTCCAACATTGTTTTATTTTATTATTCTTTAAGTTCGATTTTTTTCTCTTTTGATAAATTTTTCTCATTTTCTCGTACAAATTAGTTTTTAAAATAAGAGGAAATTTATCAAAAAACTTCTCTTCATATTTACCCATGTTGTTGAAGCTCTACGAAAGCTGATTTACCGGGTGCATTGCCAGTAGCACCTCCATCAATATATTTCGGTGTGTGTGGTGCATCTGGTGCATCCATTCCGGATTGAGGAGTGCTGGGAGGCCCCTCGTAGGGGCTCCCTATGTCAGTGAAATTTAACGTGTTTGCGCCTAATGAGGCCACTTTTTCGAAACGAATATTGACGGTGTTTTAACACTTAAAATCAAAAACTGTCTTTATGTATCTCTGATTAATAAATTTTAACAAGTTTTATCACTTAGTAATACTATTAATTTGAATTCTTTGAAAAGCAAAGGAACTACAAATATAATCACTAAAAGAACCACACGAGATATCCAACTGTGCTTATAGAACCGTCATCAAACAAATCGACAGCGGCAAAATTTTTAAACTTGTTTTATTATTCTTTCCTCTCGTTTTATTTATATTGTGATTTTGTGGCTTATTTCTATATTTCTCCTTTTGTTTGATGCTTAATCATTTGTAAAATGATGACTTTTTCATTGATTCTTTTCTTCTTTTTTTTTAAATCTAATTAAACACTATTAGTGGTTGTATGGTTCTTAATTTATTTGTGTCTCATTTCATCATATTAATTAGATTTAAAAGTTTGAAAAATCCGATTCGATTACTGCACTGAACATATTATTTTATTTATTAGACAAATTAATTTCTCCAAAACATTTGTGTTGATGTCAATATTATGACAAAATGATCAATTAATCGTCAATAGTTGAATTTTTTCATTCATATTGATTTCAGTTCACCACTCTATATTATTTTTTTATCATTATAATTAACACTTTTTGATTGTTATCATTATGATTTTATTTCTTAAATTTAATAATTTTCAAGTGCACGAATTTGATGGTCTATTGTTAATATTAATAATCACATGCAATAATGATAGTAATTTATTTCTCTCTTCTATTGTACATGTGATACACTATTCAACATATATCACAAATTTGCAACTTAATAATATCGTTTCTCCTTATATTCACAATAAAAATTTATTTGAAGAGTTCTGACACAAACTCTGATAATACTATTATTACAGAAGATTATTAAAGAATGTCGTTATTGTTATCCCGAAAATAAACACATAATTAAAAACGATTATAACTTCTCTCTTCTTCAAAAACAAAATATATTATAATCAAAAACCGCTGCAATAGGACTTTTTTGTTACCGAAAGATTACTATACGGATCGTTACAATTTATTATTTTTTTTTTTGAGAAAGAATAAAATGAAAAATTCTTTCCAACTCTAAAATTATTCTCGATATGCACAACAAATCAACGTTGCGCGACCAAACAAGAGTGAAGTGCGTCAAAGACTAGTTGAACTATAGTTGAAAATTGCTAGTTGCCGCTTTTTCATTGTTTGAACAGCGTGTGAAGCAATACAAGAAACAAGATACGTGAACACATACATACAAATAAACCAGTTTATCATAATGCTGATTGGTTAAAATTTGTATTAATTTGGGTGGAGCATCAATGCACACATAAGCATTCTAGTCGGTTTCAATACAAATGTAGCAAGAAATTGTATGTATTTTTCCAGTGGCGTGACTCATAAACCTTGCTTTGATATTTCGTAGAGAAAAGTCTGAGTGCGAATTTTGATGAATGAATATTTTCTAAGCAACTTTTATGATAAATTAAAATGCATGTTAATGTAATTTTTAATATTTAAAATAACATGAAACATTCACGTTATCACCATATTACTGTCAACATAAATATTGCGGGATTATTTTTTATAAAGAACACAAAACTGATAACGTGAAAAATACAATATTTTATTCAGCATTTTATACATTCAACATTTTCATTGCTCGTGTGTGAAAGAAAGAGGAAAGAAGGAAAAATTGAAAAATGGGAAAAATTGTAAACGCCCACACGTCGAATCGAAAAACAAAGAAAAAAAGTCCATGACATGTTGAGTCGCTATATCAAGAGACGTAAAATGTGCTTTTCATCATTTCGATTCATCGAGTTTCTGTACCTCAAAACATGTTTCTGAGGCAAAATTTTGTTGAAAATGAAAGCCTTGATATAAAAAAATACAAGATAGGAGAAGAAAAGAAAAATTCAGATTCAAAAAAGAAAAGTACGTAAAAAGATAAAAGAATAAATAAAGAAGTTTTTCAAGTGAAACATACAGAACACAACAAAATTCTTTAGACTGCAAACGGAATGGGAAAATTTCGTGCACGTTTTTAAGTGAAAATAATTGTACACAATTTTACGACGATGTTGATGAAAATCAGACATGTTTTATATGTATTTTATGCTCGATTTTTCTTTTCCTTTGATATCGCATTGAAATGTCGATGATGAGACAGTTGACGCTGAAAAATCAACACACAAGGTTCCAGTTTAAACATATTACAACAGAATCAAATAAGATTTGCAATAATGATTTTGTACAACATTCCGTTTTGTGTGTTAGTTTGATAAGAAAACGTGATGTATTTCAAACGTGCCTATGGAACTGTGAATAAATTTATGTATTTTATTTTTATGGATATACAATTAATATTAACCATTCAATATTGAAATCGCCATGAATGCAAATAGACAACAACAAGTCAAAAATTAAATGAAAAATTTATTTGGAAATCTCAACACCAACAACTCTTGAGAAGTTTACAAAAGAGTTTGAATGTGAAGAATTGTTTTTTGACATTTTGATGAGCATTGTTTCATTATTTTTTTTTCTTCTTTTTTTTATCTCAGGAAAGTTAAAATAAAACATTATAAAATGTCATTGTTGTTAACTTGTTGTTGAGAAATTGGAAAAATAAGTAAGCGAGTTATGCGTCAGCATTTTTATTGTGTGATGTAACCCATAAAGTGTGATAAATCTTTGTTGTCAGTAAAGCTTGAGAAATTAAATGAAAATTAAAAAGAAAAACCTGATGCGAAATGAAACTGAGCACATAAGACAAAAGGAAGAACAAGTTCTTTACGTGATTTTATTTTTCACTCTTTTTTTATTTTATGAAAGATTTTATGCAATGTGAAAATGTACAAGTATTTGCGGTATATCTACAGAAGATAAAAGAAATTCATTTACTTTTTTGTCATCATCATATTCATATGCTTTGTCTTCAACCAAGAAGATGAAACAAGTGCATAACTTTAATTTCCAAAAAAAGAAGAAGAAAACGCTTCACTACTTAAAACATTTGTACGTGTCTGTCTCTTCTATTTTTTTTTTATATATATAAAAAGTCGATTGAAACAATTGAAAATTCATTATTAATTCCTTTCCATATTTTTATGTTTTTTCAATTTCGTGTTATTTTTACCAATTTATTGGCTTCAAAGACACATTACGCGGTTTTCTGGGTTAAACACAGAAAATGAATAAAATAATGTGAATGTTCACTATACATATATTTATATTAAGGGACGTTCTTTTGCATGCGTTGCTTTTGGAAAAAGAAATAAAAAAATATTATCATTAAATATTAATGAACAAAACAGAAAATTGTAGACACACTTTTTGATTTCTGAACTATAATTTTAAAAAGGGCGATTGAAGCAAGTATTGCTCGCAAAATAGTGCGAAGCTAGGCAGACATTAATTTGTATTTTGAAGGACGTTGCATGACGATTTTGGTTCTCAAAGAAATATTGGGGAAAATAAAAATAAAACTTAACATGTTAATAAACAAGTCGTCCTTTATATTTCAAAATATAAATAAATTCGAAAAGTAGAAAGAATCCAAATAAATGAAATTAAAGTTTTACCGCAATTCGCATGACGCAAAATTAGATTCGGAAAATTTGATTACCATTTCGTGAGAATTTGTTATTCTAAAATTTTGTTTCATTTAAGAAGCGTAATTTTGTGGCTTTATTCCTTTTTCGCATGTAACAAATGTGCATTTTGAAATGGAAAATGTTTTATTTTTTAAAGAACTGTAGAAAAGATAAATGCCTGTCCATTTTTAAGAAAATCATTTTGATCATTGAATTTTACTTACCTTAAATGAAGAACACGTAATTCTTATTTAGTTTTCTTCAGGTGAATCACTTTTGTGAGCTATTTTGAGAAGCTTAAACTTCTCAGCATTATTTTAAAATTAAAGTATATAAAGATTAAAGAAAGAATGAAAGATTTTCTTTTAGTTTTTTATTTCTACGAACCAACTTTATTGAAATGTTCAAATGTAAGCGATAAGTACTTCAGGACGTAATTATTGCGACACCGAAAAAGTGATCATTGGATTGAGACTAAACTGAATCCACGTTGGTTTTTAAAAATTAAATAAACTATAAACGCATCTCGCAGCTTCAGCAACAAATATTATTGTCCTCAAAAAATTGGGCTTAATTTTAAGTACGATAGCTTGTCGTATCCTCTAAATGTTTAGAAAAAAAAAATAATTTAAATGAAATATTAGTTTATTCAAAAGAATTTGATTAAACTTTAAAAAAATAAATATTTGTAAGTTATCACTGTTTTTTAAGTGCGAAAATGGTTTCATAGTTTTGTCAGGTTATAAAATAAAAAAGTGTTTTTTTTTGTTTTTAAATTATTTACGGTTCTATCTTTTGACCTGTGGAAAGGTATCTTTCAATATTTTTTAACAGCCTTTTTTTTCTTATTATGAATCAAAATCGACCACACTGTGAATAAGAAACATTACAAAATATTTTTTATTAATAATTTATTTGTAGTAATATTTCTTATTTATTAGATATTGATATAATTTTAAATTATATTTATTTGATTTTACTTGGTAGAAAAATTTGCGGATCAGATTTTTTTTTTCTTTAGTTATAACTTTAACAACAGGTAGATGAGAAGAAATAATATTAATATATTCACATCCATCAACACCCGCTGAGTAGTAGTGCCGCAACAACAAAAGGAAACAAAAATAAAAATAAATTTTATTAATGGTTAATGAATCTTTTTTATGTGATCTGTTCCCTTCACAATAGATTGCTCGCTTGCTTATTTTCCTGTTGAAGGCCTAACAAATCGCTTCCAATAAAAGTGTTGAAGCGATGAAATTTTTTCTTCCTTGAATGGTCTGCAAACCGAAAAATATGAAATTAAAGCGTTCACTTGCACAGTAGCAGCTAATTTGATTTTCATCAACAAACATTTTTCATTCTGATGTAAAGAAAAGAAAACAAAATTTATAAAAATATA